GATTTCGTTGTGTGTTTAAATGAGAAATGTAACGTGAGTCTTTTTGATAAGGACGTAGTGGTATCTCCAATATAATTATTTATGAATTTGATTTGATCAGGAACGCAGTTCCGTAAGAGGCTTATAAATTCATAAATAATATTGGTCCTCCGTAATTTAAATGCTGCTGGTGAATTATTCGTGTCGACGATCGGGTTAGCTGTTTTAATTTTTTTTTATATTCTAGATAATTCTTAATTTATTGTTCTGGTAGACATATATATATATATATATATATATATAATTAGGAAGAGCTCTCTTACATACGTGTCCTCCACTTGGTAACGGTGAAATGTCTCATTGTTCCTTTGCGGCTATATGTTTAAGGTCATGCAAAATCCACTCCCACGAGAAGAGCTTTTCAATTCACATAGGTTGCCACTCAAAACTGCCCGACACACAAGCAGATGTATGCGATAGTGTATCTCGAACAATTTCGAAATATCGTGGCAGAAAATCAATGATAATTTTCTTTCCGCTGATATGAACATATTAATTCCCTGCTGGAAATAAAGACATTCAATCCCACACACTGATGTATCTACAGATAACTTTGACTTAAAATAGTCTTTGACAGATTAATCTCGCAAGCTATTCGTAGTCAGGTTGATTCTGCATCATTATTATCAACCCCGTAGCACACATAGTTAGGCATTTTAAATTTTCACTGGACTATTGTTACTGCCTAAGTTTAACCTTGATCAGCGCCAAGCCCTGGTAAAAAGTCATATTTTGAAAGTCAAACGAACTTTTTAGATAGTACTATTCTTTTCTTCACGGTGTCAGCGATCACGACTCTCCACAGTTTCCTGTCTTTTGTAACTCTTAGTAAATTATGACTTTGTATTAACTCTCCTAAATCCTGTTCTGCGATACATTTACACAAAGTTATTAGTTAGGTTACTAACTGTTTCCCATTGTCTATTTTGTCTTTAATATGTTCTGTGAGTGTCAAATTCTCCAAGCTTTCTTTCCTTATTATGTGTCTTAGAAATTTCAACCGTCTCTTTCTGATTCTATATATAAGCGTCCTTTTTGTTTTCATTTCCTTTAAAAACTCCCTGTTACTCACATGTTCAACGTCCTTCTGTAAAACTACATCTCTTGTCGTAAATCTTTTATTCATCTGTGTGGAGATTGTCAAGCATTCACTGCAATAGAGGAGAACTGATATTACATAACAGTTCAGTACTTTTGCTTTATTGCTAACGATATTTTCCTACTACTTAATACTTTGCTTAGCTTTTTTGTAATGTAACTTTGGCTATTCTAATGCACTTTCAGTTTCTGTGTTATATTTTCCGTCGTCTGGAAAATACATTTCAGCTTTCTGTAGATGATTGAATTCGTAACTCACATAATAAGTTATCCCATTTCTTAATGACCCTCCATTCTATCTTCTTACAATTGATGATTCATCATTTCTTCTCGCTTTGCTTTTTGGCTAACTTGGCTTCGGGAGGAGAGAAACCCGGACGAGGCTCCGCCAAAGAGCAGAGTCTCGTTCGGGGTGGTTGACTGCCGTTTATGCGGGTTCAAAGAGGGAATATTTTTGGCCGAGCCTACGGGCTCGGAGATGCCACGTTAAACCCGGCCTTGTGCCACATGTAACCCTCGTGGGGGGGGGTAGCTAAATATCACTACCTTCTCTTTTCCGAACTTTTCTTTCTGTGTCTGCTGTCAATACGGTGTCGTCTGCATATCTTAGGTTGCTAAGACTGTGTCCGCTAACAATAACTCCTGGTAGGGACTCTAGTTCTAACAAGATAACCTCGCTGTAAAGGTTGAATAAGTCTGGCGAGAAGACTCATCCTTGTCATACGCCCCTTTCAATTTTCAATTCATTTACTGTCCGTATGCAGACGATTTGCTTCCAGTATAAGTGCTGGAATTAATAGCAAGTCTGAAACATACACTTCTATGCCACGGTTGATCTTATCTTATCCAAAGTTTTGGGATAAAGTATTATTATTCCACGTGTCATTCAAACTGGTTTCCTCGTCATTGTTATTGGCTCTCGTACGATCACCGAAGTTAAGCAACGTCGACACTGGTTTGTAACTAGATGGGTGACCACTGTAAGCGTGGATATGTAGGTGGTTTAATAGATAATGACTCGGAATTGGACATAAGAGAGTTCCTCATCACTGTTATTGGCTCTCGTACGATCACCGAAGTTAAGCAACGTCGACTCTGATTTGTACCTAGATGGGTGACCGCTGTAAGCGTGGATATGTAGGCGATATAATAGATAATGACTCGGAATTGGAAATAGGACAGTTCCAATTGAAGTTGGGTTCTTTATGTTCACTTACGTGCAAATACCCTTGGAAAAGGTATGAATCCACCTTTTCTCCCCTGTCCTCCAGTTATGGGTTAATTAGTAAAAATTATTATCCTAAAAAATTCTTACAATCTAGAAATATTTTCTCGCTTTAAATAGCCTGTAAAAGGTTGATAAGCCGTAAAAAAACTAATCACTCATCATTGTTATTTCGCTCACAGCGTTTTGCTCACTACACTTTTCGAAATATAGACAGAAAACTACGTTGTGTAATGATCAGCAAGCTTGTCTCACTAGATCAGTTACAATTGAGTAGTGAGTTAGGTTAGCACTGAGTGGTCCATATCTTCGGTCTTTTGCCACATCTAAGCTACGCTTAGATAGTCACTAGTGTTATTCGAGGTGGTGTAATTCTTGGCAAACTAGTCTCGCTAGATTAATTACGACTGAGTAGTGAGTTCGATCCTAACTAGGTTCTCCTTACTTTCGACCTTGTGCCACTGTTAAGCTACGATTAGCAAATCGATATAAACAAAAAACGAATGGGGTTTACCTTTTGTAAACTCTGGCGTTGTTAAAAAAATTTTCTTCATCCAGACTTACTGAAGTTTTATTACTTCCCTCTGCGATTAATTTAAGACTAAAATTCAGAATATTTCATGCAAATGGCTGCCGTTTGTTTACATCTGCGCAGAACAAATCGTTTTTCATCATAACTGCGCAAATAGATACTGCCATCATTCAGCAAATAAACCTTTCAATTCCAATAAATATTTATTTTATATTCAATAAAACTCAATACAAATTCAGTACTCGTTTAAGTATTTATTTTATATAAGGGAAAATATGTAGTGAGATGATATATTTCTGTTTCTTTTGTAACATCATTTACAATGAAACATATATAGTAACGACATTGACAATGCATTTCTCTATAAAAAATATTCTTTAAAAAGCTCGTCTAAACAGTTATTTGAGTATTAATCTTTTATTTGTTGCATTTTCCATTGCTAATGCAAATCCTTTTTCGTTTTTTTGCAGGTGAGTCGCATCACGTACTTTTTTTCAAAAGAAAAAAATGGACCGAAAGGAAAGAATCCGATCGTTTTTAGGTAAAATACGTCATTTTTTCCCCTCTTTTAGATATTTAATATTTTTCTTTGAAATTGAAAATCTAGTCTTATATTAGCTGTCATTTTTTTACAGAATATATTAACTAAACTTAGCCTAGTCTGACACAAGATTACATTATTAGGGAACTTAGTAAAAATCGAGGTTAGGGAACTTAGTAAAAATCGAGGTTAGCAACAAATAACTTGCAGATTATTACCCATAAACTTCTGATGTCTGTCTAAACTGACGGCATTTTGTTTTTAATATAGTGTAGTTACATTGCTTAAAGTTCGTATTTTTTTCTTTCTGATAAACACTTGGAATTTTTCAAACATATTTCAGTAAAAGATGTACTTTCTAAATTATAGTTTATAATTATATTTTAGGTATATGCAAAAAAAAAAAAAAAAAAAGATGGCGTCAGTTTAAAATAACGCCAGTAGGATCGACCTAGGTATTCATACGGCAAAAACGAACATATCCTAATCTGGCAGTTCGGCTTCAATCACTTTCCCACCGCCATAATGTTGCCTCAATCTATCTTTTCTATAAATACTTTCATGGTAATTGCCCGGATGAGATATTCTCTGTAGTACTTCGACTATTTGAATTTAAACGCAGTACTTGACTGATGTAGGGATCTTATCAATTTACAATTGAGCTGGCCAAATATAACCGCGAATTCTATGCTAACAGTTTCTTTCCTCGCATTTCTCGCTTGTGGAACTCTCTTCAGGCCCCATGATTTCCAGCCAACTTTAATCTCCAGAAAGTTAAATGCAATGTCAATCGTTATCAACTGTCCTCCTGATTACTCTTTCCTCTTCCTGCTCATCATTATTATTTCAATTCCTAATTCTTCCACACCCTGTAATCCCTTGTGTCTTAGTGGCTTTACTGCCTTACTTGGGGTGATGCCGTTTAAAAAAAAAAACCCACTGGCAATGATTTGCGATATTAAGACCGAACAACATCCATGTCATGTCCCTGTAAGACTTGAGCAATTATGGTCTTCCACATCTTCCTATACTTAACTCTTAGTAACGCTTGTCTTTTAAATATCCCATCCGATCCCCTTTCTACCATTCAGTTTCCCTCTCTCTTTTGCCTTCGAGGTGTCCTGTGAGTTTTAACTTCTTCGAAAACTCATTTCTCATGTCCCAAAAATTCTTGCTACCACTTGATGATTTTGAATATAAGTTGATTTCTTTGTTTCTATTTTTCTTAAAACTTCATCCATACTTACGTGCTCCGTCCATAGTATTCTCAGCATCCTTCTGTAGAACCACATCTGAAAACTTCTCTTAATAAGTGAAGAAATTGTCCAGCATTCACTGACATGTAATTGGATTTATACTACATCGCAGTTCAGCTCTTTTTGTTTTGTTTCTATCGATATTTTCCTATTTGTTCATACTTTGCTTAGCTTTTGGAAAGCATCTTTTGCGATTCCAATGCGCGTTCGGATTTTGGTGTCACACTAGAAGTCACTTGTGCTTTTGGTGGAACTAGGGAATAATTTAATTTTTTGAAAAACAGGTTTCCGCCGCAATATTTGACATACATCATAGACGTTTCGTTCTTTAAAGAAAATTAATGTTATTATTCTAAGAATCTTTGGGACAGGTACCTTCATTTTTATTGCATTAAACACAGCGTTTTGCCTGATATATACTTCAGCCCACCTCGACAGGCTGTAAGAGTCTTTGAATGAAACAATAATATTATCTCTTTTCACGGATTCATGACACCGTGTCGTATTTGCGTAAGAACCTTTTTTTTGTGGGGATATGCAATGTGTAATAAAACAATATAAATCTGCTGTTCCAAACAGTTCATGAGATAATACAAAGGGAAATCTTGAAATTTCTTTTTTGGATTGGCTGACGATCTGAAATCTGATCAAATAAGTAAACAGCTTTTCATCACCCTCTTGTAAAAATACCTCAGATTTGACCATCAAATTTACCGAATAAAAATTCTGAACGTGATTATACCACGACAATGTTCATTATAGAATGTTCTTAACCATAATTGGAACAATCAGGTAAATTTTACTTGAATTACATAAAGCGTTGAATTTATGATTTAATACAATAAAAATGGATTGAAGTCGACGTGTATTGTATGAGGTTGAGCCATAAATAATAAACTAAAAATAATAAAATACAATTAGATTTTATTCAATTATGTAATCACCATTATTTGAAGTGACTTTTTGCTACTTATCAGGCAACACTTCGATACCTTTTGAGTAAAGTTCCGCAGCTTTTGATGGAAAAATCTTTCGACGAACTCTTAAATCTGGTTTCCATAAGAGAAAGCTTTCCCCATCAAAGAATTTTGTAGCATTCAAAAAACGGTAATACTCATTTGGTGCAAAGTCAGGTGAATACAAGGCCAGGTGAATGTTCAAGACAACCCTCTAAGAACACCTAGCAGTTTATCCGTTCTAAGCTGAATATTGTACGTATTTGTGTCACCAATGGTCAAATCCTCTTAGATCAGCATTTCTTGATAGAAATTCAAAAGTTAAGAAGAAAACCTCCATCAATAATAGAAAGAGCAATGACAGCTACTGGACTTGAAAAACTTATTTTCCTGAAAAATTGTTATAAGAAAATGAGTTTATAAATTTTAATCGAAAATAGTACTGACTTTTCGATGAATGAATACCGAATGATTCTTTCTAAGGAAACGTATAATATTATGAATACTATTACCATTCGATACATTCTGAGTAAAATTCTGCAGGTTTTGATGGAAAAATCATTCGACGAACTCTTGAATCTGGTTTCCATAAGAGAAAGCTTTCCCCGTCAAAGAATTTTGGAGCATTCAAGAAAAAAATAAATAAATAAAAATAATAATTATTTGGTGCAAGGTCAGGCGAATATGGCAGGTGAAGTTGAATAGATCACCAGTGTTCGAAAATCTTTCCCCCTTAGTTCTGCCATCCATTCACGCAAGCTCATCGATTAGGTAACCTGCTGCATTCCCTATCACTCTTGCCTTCGATACGCCCTGTATTAGTTAAGTTCCTCATTAAGTGTCCAAGAAGTTTCAAAAATCGCTTTCTGATTCTGAGTATTAGTTACCATTTTCTTTAAGATTTCTTTGTTGCTTAACTCAATCCATCCATGGAATTCTAAGTATCCTTCTGTAGAATCACATTTCTGTTGCCTCTAGTTTCCTTTTCATCTGTAAGGAGATTGTCCATCATTCACTGCCATATAAGAGGGCTGATATCACATAACGATTCAGCACTCTTTTCCTTTCTTTACCTACTGTTCAGTAAATGAAACCAAGTTTACACCAATATATGAATAGGTAAACAGAGCTATTCAGTAGAATCATAAATAATTTCCGTTTTATATTTATCAACTTTATTCTTCAAAAAATAGGTGCAATTACATTATATATTCACTATTATTTATACGATGTTTGCTATGGAAATGATAATACTATAGAAATTCATTGGAAGTGATTTTACTATAGAAATATATTAGAAATGATTTTACTATAAAATATTAGATTGAGTCATAAATAATTTCTGTTTTATATTTATCAACTTTATTCTTCACAAAATAAAGTACAATTACATGTGATTTAATTATATATTCACCATTATTTGCAATGACATATTGCCATATATCAGGCGGCTTTTCGAAATATTTGAGTAAAATTCTGCTAGTTCTAATGTGAAAAAGTTTACGAAGAACTCTGGTTGCAATTAGAGAATGTTTTCGCCATCAAAGAATTTTGCAGCGATCGCAAAAGGTAATAATCGGTTGGTGCGATCAGGTGAATATCATAGAATTCAAAAAACAGGAATGGATTAATAACCAAAAGGAATTAAATTATTCCTTTAGAAAACATGAAAAAGAATTTCAGACCGCGGGAGTCCAAGGTTTAAAAACATTCATTCTGAAAAAAGCACTGCAGAAAAGACTGCGTTAATCAGTAAATAATTTTTTAAAAAAGATTATTTTTACGCGTATTAAAGAGCTATTTTAAAAATATCTAAAATAGACCACTCTTATATACAAAAGAAAAAGAATATACAAATTATATATATATATATATATATATATATATATATATATATATATATATATATATATATGAGTAAATATAATAATATGCTATATTAATGTGCTCAGTGTCAGGGATAGAGCGTAAGGAAATATAAAAGTGGATATTGAAGTCTGTCTCATGCTTAAGCACGATCGACAGACCTGTATATATATATATATATATATATATATATATATATATATATATATATATATATATATATATGTGTGTGTGTGTGTGTGTGTGTGTGTCTGTGTGTGTGTGTGAAGTATGTGTATATAAAATATATATATATATATATAATTATTTATATATTATATGCGCAGTACTTATTAGAAACCGCTCATTATCAGAGATAGAGCTAACATATTTGCTTGGATTGATGTGAGTTTGTGACCCTGGGTTTCACGCATTTGTGATCGTCAGACAAACTGATTAATTTTTTTAATTCTATTATCAAGATTTAGACCAAAATAAATAAATAAATGAAATAAAATAAAATAAAACACCAACAATCACTTTTTAGTTCAAGCTAGCACCACAATAATTACATTTCTTGTTTTTATCATTCTCCCACCACCATTACTAATCACTTCTACCAATTTACGATAACTATTAGATACTTATATTATCATTGTCACCAATCCCTTTACAACATTACTATCACATCACATCTACTATTACCATATAAACCCGCTATAATTATTAACGTAAACTACCCCCTCCCCCAGCATATTTAATACCACCATAAAAATAACCAATAAGGATTACAAACCGAAATTTCTACCAGTTACATATACACAGTCATCAGAAACAAGCAAATAACCAGCTTTAAAATGATAACAAATAAACTTTTTTTTAAAATTAAAAATAAAAATGATAGCAATTTTTACCTATCATAATTTTACACAGACCCCACCACACGTATATACGTGCATGCGAGGAAATATTATTCAGCGAAAAAATATAAAAATGCTCTAACTGCTGACATGTATACATTCACGAGACATTCACGAGAAATTTTCGCTACACTTCCGATCTTTGAATTTCAACATACAATTGCGTATGTACAACACCACCCATATACATACATATGTCAAATCCCATACTGTCCACATATGTTTGTATCTGTATGAGCCCCGGCGGACGAGCAAGTGTGTATGTGTGTCTGTGTACCTCATTTGGTGTACGGATATGTATCTATGTTTGCGTTAGCATGAGTGACATCACGACGACGATTCCCCCACCCACTCCCATAATAACACCAATACACGCAATCTACATGAACCCCAAATTTTATAAAATTAATCAGTTTGTCTGACGATCGCAAAAGCGTTAAAACCCAGCGTCACAAATTCACATCAATCCAACCAAATAATATATATATATATATATATATATAAGTCAACATAGAGGTGACAGGCTGTTTCATGCTGGACGCAATCGTCAGGCCACCTACACACACACACACACACACACACACACATATATATATATATATATATATATATATATATATATATATATATATATGAGTGGACACTGAAGTGTGTCTCATGCTTAAATACGATCGTCAGGCCTGACGTTTAAGAATGAAACAGTGTCGCTTCTCTCACTTGTCTTCAATGTCCACTTTTATATTTTCATTGGCTCTATCCCTGATATTGAGCATTTTAACTTCTAAATATAGCATACTTTAAAATTATATTTTATCATATATAAAATATATATATATATTTTATCATATATATATATATATATATATATATATATAGATAGATAGATAGATAGATAGAGATATATTTTATCATATATATATATATATATATATATATATATATATATATACCGTCATCCACGGACAGACTGTTTCATTTATCACAGCTCATCAGAATGCTAGACATCTGATCACTTCAACCCGACCAGTTGACATAAGTCGGAGATTCTAAACCTTAGGTTATAGGCGCCTGGCTGAGAGGTAGACGAATTTTGCCTATTTATTTTTTTTCATAAACACGCATAAACTGGCATTTTTATATATATATATATATATATATATATATGTGTGTGTGTGTGTGTGTGTGTGTGTGTATATAATTATTTATTTAAAATATGATTCCATCGCTACATAAGATTTCTCATGTTTCTAAACAAGAGCCGAAAACTTCAATATGAATTAAATTGAATTAAAGTACCAAGCTCTGTTCCATCTTCAAGCGTTTTTTTTACGCGTTTTTATAAGCATATTCATTATTGAAATTAAAATTACTATGGTAACGGTTAGAGCAATTATTTAAAAAAAGGTGGCATAAGGTTTAATAATTTGTATCAATATCTCAGTTACATTCAAAGAGGTCAAGTCAGGGTAAGGTTGCGGTGTCTAAATTTAAAGCGGAAGATGACATCGTCTAGTCTGGTTAAGTGTCTATGGAGATTTATTTATTTTTTTATTTTATTTTCTTTCATGAAAGGGTTAGGTATTTAGGCTCTACTTTTGTATCGAGCACTGTTTTTTTTTTTTTTTTTTTTTTTAATAATAACAAAAATACTAAAGAACTT